CCCCCACCCAGTACATCTGTAATTATTCAGAACATGAAGAAGTGGCTGTTTTTACAGCACGGTTTTGTGTTTTCAGTTCTTCCGCAGGTCGAAGCTGCCCGCTGGCAGACATGAGACACCCACAGAGGCGTCTCCTCGTCACATAACCTCACAGGAGCGGCCCATGCAGCTGACATAACTTCCTGTTGGGAGTGTAGAGGGGTGACCATGCAGTCGCCTCAGAGGAGGAGGCTCAGGCGAGGTCGTGTCCTCCTCTTCACCTCAGGTGTGCTGCTGTGTTTGGTCTACACGCTGGCTCTGAAAACCCGGCTGTCGCAGCCTCCAGCCCCCGTCCAGACGGAGGAGGGGGGCGGCGGCGATGTGGTGGAGGTCAGCGTTCGAGAGGTGACGGCCTCCAACGGGACCAGGGAGGAGGTGGGAGCTCACGGGACCACCAAACCTCCTCTGGTAATGATTGTCAACAGGACAGATATCGAACAGTGCGTCTACGTCAACCCTCAACCTTCCAAACCTACTGCAACTCCCCCACCTGGGACCACCACGGCTCCTCCCCATCAAAGGAAAGGTGAGTACCCAGAGGACATCTTCTCAGTGGAGCAGCGACGACAAGGCTGGGTGGTCCTGCACGTCGTAGGCATGACCTACATGTTTGTCGCCCTGGCCATTGTTTGCGACGAGTTCTTTGTACCGGCGCTGGAGGTCATCACCACCAAGCTGGAGATCTCAGACGACGTGGCCGGGGCCACCTTCATGGCGGCCGGAGGCTCCGCCCCGGAGCTCTTCACCTCCCTGATTGGCGTCTTCATCTCCCACAGCAACGTGGGCATCGGCACCATCGTGGGCTCGGCGGTCTTCAACATCCTGTTTGTGATCGGCATGTGTGCCATCTTCTCCCGGGAGATGCTGCACCTGACCTGGTGGCCGCTCTTCAGGGACGTGACCTTCTACATCCTGGACCTCGTCATGCTCATCGTCTTCTTCCTGGATAACACCATCCTGTGGTGGGAGAGCTTACTGCTGGTGCTGGGCTACATGAGCTACGTGACCTTCATGAAGTTCAACAGCCAGATTGAGCGGATGGTCAAAACCCAGCTCAACAAGCACATGAGTATCGTCAAAGTCTGGACTGCAGAGGAGCCGGAGAAGGTCAGTCAGTGATTCATTCATTCATTCATTCATTCATTCATTCATTCATTCATTCATTCATTTTTAGTAT